CTCACCTAACATTCATCGACCTCAAATATGGCTTATCATCTGAAATATGTATGTAGTAGCAACAATCTAATGTTAGCCTAGAAAAAGTGCAAGCACTTCCTTCTCTCACCAGAAGCTGGCGCTGTATCCACCGCACGTGTTTTTAAAGCTTCCAGGGCCCATATTCACAAAACATCTTAAGGCTAAAAGTAGCTTATAACTCGCCGATTTAGGAGAAAATCTTACAAATAATGGGCGTGTCAGTCCTAAATTTAGGACTCCTAAATGTTTACTCTAAGAGTATTTCACAAAGCGTTTTAGCTCTAAAACTAGCTCCTAAATCTGTGAAAGGTTAGGAGCAGTGAAGAGGACTCCTGAGTCACTAAGACCAAGCCACAAACTATTCCTAAAATAGCTGTTGCTGGCAATCTGCCTCTGAATGTAAACATTTTAGAAACATTTGACGATAATGAGCTTTTAAAAATGTTTATCGCCTTAATCGTGGGGGTATTATAACTGTTGTAGAACTTGTCGGGGACAATTTTCCTTTGATTAGCCTATATCCTTGTTTTCATTAACCAGCTGGGCAAGAAGTAACAGCTCTTCTTGTTTCCAGTTTGGTTTTCTTTAACGTTTGCATAACTTACTATCAGCCACGATTATTCTACTCCGTTAATTAAAAGGCTGTTGATATGCATATTCACTAATTGTTTACAAGAAGCATACATGTAAGAGGCTGACAATTAGCTGAACATATACTTGTTTAATTAGTGACTCTTAGCGTGCATTTTTAAATATTTATTTGAATGTGGCAATTAACATTTTTATTTTTAAACCTTTATTTGAATACGGCAATATCATATTGTGCTCTACAATATTTCTATGAATAAGAGTGCGTTCACGCCATATCAGAATTCCCATAATTACAAGATTCCAACTTGTAAAAAGTGTTCACGTCCCCGTAGAACTCGTAATTACAACTTGTGACCTGGGAGTTTTCTGAGAGCTACGCTTGTACCACCTGACCACCGCAGGCTCTGTTTAGGCGTTGAGTGGTGCCATAGAAAAGCATAATTCCGAGTCCGAGGACGTGAACAGCTCCGAGTAGAACGTCACGTGCTGTCATCTCAAAATTACGGTAATTACGATATGGCGTGAACGCAGCATTCATCTCTGAAAGAGACTATCAGCCAATCACTGTGTGCATAGTTAGTAAGTATGCTGACATCATCCACGGCAACAAGGTCATGAACTCTTAGTGGCAAGATAAAATGTTTGGTGAATATGGGCCCGTGACGTCTTGCCACTCTATTGGACTGGGATTTGGCTGTGGTTTTGGAGGCGCTCTGCAAACCTCCTTTTGAGCCTTTGGAGGAGGTTCCAGACAAATTCCTTACAATTAAGTCATTCATTATCAAAAACAGTAACATCTGTAAAAATTTTAACAACCTAATTTTTATATGGTGAAATTTAATTATATTCTGACTGTTTGAGGTTATTAAAATTAACCATTGGTCTTCCACAGTTAAAGGAAAAGTTCACTCACCCTTGTGTCGTTCCAAACCTGTGTAAGTTTCTTTCTTATGATGACCTCGAAGAAAGATATTATGAAGAATGCTGGTAATCAAACAGTTGTAGGCCACCATTGACTTCCAGAGTAGGGAGCAGGGCCTAAAATTAACACTCGCCAAGCGCCAAATGCGGGTAAAAATCAGCATTGGCGAGTATATGTAACGGTGTCAGTCGCCAGTTGGCGGGTAAAACTTTTACGAAATATAACAATGCAATGTAGTGGAAACAACAGCCCGTTTTTAAAGAGATTCATGTTTCTGACGTAAGCGAATAAAATAATATTTTCCGAAGACAAAATCATCGTTATTAGCTGTTCTGTCATAAGCAACAAGAGCGAATCAAATAATAGGAACCAAACGGGCTGATAAGGTCAGAGCAGAGTGATGGCCCGCTTGTCCCTAGACACGGTTCTAATAACTTTTACCTGAGAAGATATTGCTGCTTCATTTCGGAAGATTAACTTTTCCCTTCTTTATTCTTCATAACCCGAGAATGTGGCGACACATAGGCTACCTGGGGTTGCGCCGCAGAAACGGTGCAGTGAAGTAGGCTATGAAAGGTTGCTCGTTCGGCTGTACACAGACGCTGAGCCGCTTCAGACAGCGCACCAGTAGCGC